GACAGGAGCTGGTAAGCCACCATATTAATCACACCCTATTGCTTCAGACCTCCTTCCTTACATGCCTTGGCGGGCAGAATCTTGACGAATTCGTCAAGCGAATTTTCTTCGCAGTGTTCGACGACGAGATTAGCCTTTACGTCAATTTCAAAGGCAGGAAGACGAAAGACAGCCTCTGCGGTTCTAAACTGTATGAGGTTATACTTGGTAGGTCTGCCGTTACAACTATACAACATACAGAAGTCTTCGGAGCGTGGAATACTGATTCCACCGTAAAACTGTCTGACCTAGAGTCAGCACTTACGAAGCGGCTGAAGAGGTCGCTGGACAGTTGTGTCCAGCGGCGGAATAAGTCACAAGTGACGTCCAATGACAGTGGTAAATTAATTGTAGTTTTCCAGTAATTGATTTTAATTTCTAGACAATACACACGGATCATCTACTGATTCCTCGCCTGCGTCACCTTTGTGAACACAGAAGGGGTTCAGCATTGTACATATTACTTTTACTTTTTTTAATAAACTAATTACAATACAACCGTCTCCAGTGTACCTATGGGTAAAAGGGGGGTAATATACATACAACAAGGAATGGAAGGGGGCGGAAAAGGGAATTGGGATAAGCAAACGATTCCACGCGTAGCATATTACCCCCCCCTTTTCGCCGATAGCGTTGTATCTCGATTAATCGATATCTATGGTTGCGTCAAAATAGATATCTAATCGATATACATATATCGATAAATAGATATCTAATAGATATATACTCGATATAGTTTGCTACTAGGGAGTTGCATCGGTTGCAATAGCGACGACAATTAGCCCGTTAAAAGCGTTGCAAAGTGGACAAGAGCAGGCAAGGTAAGCCGGGATGGGCATGACTAAGGCGAACAGACAATAATAAAATTAGACATGGGTATAAGAACAAGTAACCGCAGCATCCCTAATAGCAAGGAAAGCCGATTCTTAATTAGAGCCTCGGCACTCAATCGTATCTGAAATTTGATTGGTTCCTAGGACCCCCGGCCGTCGCGTCGCCAAGGGCGCAAAAGAATGCGTGCATGCTTATTGGCAAATCGATCGGCCGTGTCGTATGCGTTGGCGCGACGGCTGGGACACGCCACTTTATGCTCTCCCACGCCTCTGCACGCGCACTCTTGCTGCTCTGACCGTGTTTACTACTTGACGCGTTTTATAACCCTTTCTGTTCCTTTTCTGGTTCTTTTTTTTGTAAATGTCGATGAAAATATCGAAGAGGACATTAAGGAGACGTGTTGATGCTGCTGTGAAGAAGCAATTTCAGCAAATTGCGGAGAATATACGAGAAATGTATCCGTCCGACTCAGTATCAACATCCCTGGATTTTTTGTCGTCGTACAGCTCATCCAATTGGACAGATTCTTCCTCTGCTGACGAGAGAATACTAAACGACTAGAGCGGGTTGAGTTGAAGTTGGATGCTCAGGCCGAAGGACGTGCCAGTGCAGCCATTTCCTTATCCACTTCAACGTCTGTGGCTGCACCTTTTAGACGAATGGCTTGCTTGAGTGATTTAGAAAGATTTACAAATAAACTGACAGACACCGAATTTCGGCAGCAGATGGTAAGTGTCTTATGACCTACTTATTTCTCGGATAGGTCAGCCACTTAGCTAGTTTTGCAGGCCGGACATTGAGCGCATTCGTCGACCGCGTGTTCAGTGCCCTATTTCAAGATGAAATAACACATCATTTGACTTTTTACGGTCGACAACACGGGAAGAGCGCGTTCTTCGGCTCCCCAACCTACTCACTCGTCCTAGGT